GCGCGAATAGTTGTATATTTATAGGTATAATTAATGTGTGTCAATAATAATTTTATTTGTACAAACGTATCGTATATAATAATATGCGTTTTCCGTACTGTTTATAATATTGCCAGCGGTGTTTTCTACTCAGCCGTTTGCCCTTATCAATATCGCTAAATTTTATGATAGGATTAAAATCACGATGGCCTATGATTTTGACCGTACTCTGCGGTCAGCGCATTTCCTGTTGATATTATGATAGAGGAGGACACGTGGAACTACAACGGGGTTGAAAAGGATTATAATATTATAAATTTTACTCCCGAAAAGCTTGGACAGATGAACGTGATAAATCGACGAAAGAAACCGCGAAGTATACGTACTACGTAGAGGATCCTACTGAAAAAAATCAATGTTTGGCAAAGACTCAATTTCCGCGATTTATTTATGGCGTCACATGTTATATATAAATAATTTATAATATTTTTTCACCAAGCTCTTGGTGAAAGCTGAATTAAAGTAATTTATTTGAAAATCGTTTAATAATCTAATTTTATTCACAGCAGACTATTGCATGATAGCATCGTATCGTTTTTTAAAATAATATTATGCGCACAAAGACGATAATGAAATACAAATTTAAATAAAATAAGATTTTCTTTGAGAAATAATCACTTTATACATAGAGTTTACATTTTTACAAAATGCATATAAAACTTAAATATTTAAAAGTAATGTATATACATATAATACGTCATAGGTATTACTTAGGTTCATTAAAATCAATTATAGTATGTTTTTTGTATATATCTGTAAAAAAATTTAAGTAGTTGAATTTTCTTTAGGTAACATTTAAATAATACTAAATAAAAGTAACAAATAGAAAATAGAATACCGTTCATTGTTATTATATATTATTGTTTAGACTGYATATAATCGCAATWAATGTCCTTTGGATAATATGTAATATAATAGATTTAATTATAATTATCTTTAAATTAATTAAACTGTTGGACCTAACTTAGCTACGAAATAGTCACATGTTAATAGTTATTACTTATAACCTTAAAGGAATAGATCATTCTAAATTTTACTTAAATATATATTATAYTGAATTTTTAACATTACAAGTATAAACATAATATAGACATCAGTTTATAAAATCGTCAATTTTCTTGTATATATTCTTTAAAATCACCTATAAATATTTTATTATAATTCAGTCAACAGGGCTCTGTACTTGTGTACAAATATTGATAGTGCCGACAGTGAACGCTATTTATTTTGCATTTTAATTGAATAACCAAAACTTAGAGTATAAGATAAATATTTAAATATTACTRAATAAAAAGTTCAAAGGAGAGAAATCAGAATTCTCAAGACCATTGCAAAGGGAATGCAAGTTTTGCACAAGTCGGGCGTGTAATGCATTTTGAGCTCTTTTAAAATGTTTTAAATATTTAAAGGAAACGGTGCAGCGGTGACGACGCGATAAGAGCTCGAGAAAAGCCGACTTATCGTGTTTTTTTTTAAGTCTCTTTTACTGGCTCTCACTCTATCTGCCTCTCTTACAGTTACACTATAMGCACGTTATTTATAAACATATATATACATTTTCTGTCTCTGTTTCTCTCTGTCTGTCTATTTGTCTCTGTTTCTCTYTTTAACCCTCCTTCAGCGTGTGGGGTTCTCTTTCTCTTTCTCTCTCATCTCCTTCAAATCGTGCTACCGTTATTTTTGCGTCTTCTTGATAAAATACAGATYATCACCTTAAAACAGTTTATCAACTAACGAAAAGGTTCTATAGGACCGTCATGAAGCATTTGGCTTGCATACGAAAAGATTTGACCCGAGTATAACAACCCTTATGATTCAAAAAAACTGTGATTTCCCGACGCCGTCCCAATGTGTGAGAAAACGGCGGTGCTGAACAATATATCAAACCCCTTGACACCGTCATTTCCCTCATCGTGCTTGCATACGCAACATCACTCCAGGGCCGAGAACCGTTCATATTTATGGCTGGTTTCATAAAAACGCCCAGGGCTCAGGATGCGGCAGTGGTAGTGGTGGCGGCCAAAAACTTTTTCCCATTACACAAAACGAGGCTTTAAGTTTCATTTCATCCCTCTCTATGTAATTTATTGAGTCCGGCGCGAACCGCTGTTCCAATTAAGGTGGATTAAACGGTCGCCAAAACTTACAATGATATTTTTCGAACGGCTAAAGTTTTCGGAATTGCTTTTTTCTTCATGCACAGCAACAGAAAGCTATGATAGTATCCACGAGAATTGTTCAAACCACCTGACTCGGCAAACCCGTATATCGACCTAAACGTTCAACTGGGAAGATAATTTGTCACCAGCCGCTACCGGTTATACTCTTAAAGCAGCTGTAAATCATAATACCATAATGCAATGGCTAAATATTATGAACGAAAATTTCGAAAAGTTGAAACATTTTTTTTATTATTATTAATAATTAGAGACTTTGAGTGAGACACTGCTCTCKTTTTTATAGTATAGGCACAGGCTAGTGAAAAGTGCTAGACATCATAAGTAATAAAATGAATCTAATGGTTAATGGTTAAATACAACATATGGAATATAATTCTAATCAAAATATAATTATAAGATAATTGTTTTTGATATAACTGTGTACATATATATATATATATATATAATATTGATCATATAAGAATAACTTAAATATAAACTTAACAATTTTTATTTTTATTAAATAATAAATTAACATTTTTTATTTCAAAAACAATTACGCATAACAAAATATTACAATAATTTATTCTTCAATAAATACGTTAGTAAATAATATGGAACATACTGAATTCCAGTTAAAAACTTCAATTTGGACATAAAAACAACACAAAAATGTTTTAACAGTACCTTGTACTGTAAGATTCTTTTTTCATTTAATATTTCAAATAAGGAAACTGGACATAAATTAGTTTCTCTGATGAATTAAATATACCATCCAACGTCACTATTACAGTACTTCACACATTTCCTCTATAATAGCTGCGTTGAGAGGAAAAGTTTCGTTGATTGTAAAACAGACCACGACTTTAGGACGATGGGTTCCTTTAACCGGATAAGAGCAGGCAGTGCATTAGTAGGCCTGGTGTGTTTATCTTTTAAGCATCGAGAATATATATACATATATATATATATATATATATATATATATATACTGTATATATTACTATATATAAGAAAATCAAGTCTCGGCTAAAGTGGTACGTTTGTTTAGTGAGGTCCACTGTGCAAACTCAAACTTCGGGGTCAAATATCGGACAGGATTAGAGGTGCTGGGATTTTCAGGGGTTTTTGAAAGTGAGTGAGAGAGTGAAAGAATATTAGTATAGGTATGAGGAGTAGGAGTAAAATGGGTTTCTKGTTGGGGTGGCCAAAAATTCATCTACGTTTTATTTGACCGTCGACTACTTTATTGTGTGACGAAATTCAGCTCTCTCTCACACACACACTCTCTCTCTCTCTGTATATATAAACCTAAATATATATATATATATATATACCGCTGCAGTGGCCAGATTCCAAGTGAATATAAAACCTTTTGGGTGCACAAACCAGCGCTGGAAAAAAAAATAATTATTCAATATACGATTAGGTTAATGGACCGGTATTAGGACTGGTAAATCGAGAATACATTCATATGGATATTTTTCAAGTGACGTATGATATTATAATCTTTGACCTGCGTTGTGGTATTGAATAATAAAAAAAAAGTATATATATTAATTGCTCTCATCGRTGGTGAATTTTGTAAATACTACGTATTTAATTGAAATTGATTATCAATTTTTAATAGAGCTAAAATAATTGTTAAAGATAAAAAATAATATTAACCAATATTAATTTCTAAAGTCAATATGTTCTAAATTTATCATTAATTTTTAATTCAATAAAGAAGTTTGTCATATTATATTAAATTTAAGTTTAATCTTAGGAAATGTGCGTATGCAGTCTAAAAAAAAATTGGAATGACATTTCAACTAAATACGGGTACACTGTACACTATAGTTGGAACATTTCTCATAAGTATTCAAATTGTATATGCATATAATGTATACTATAAAATAAATTAAAAATCAACTTTAGAAAAACGTTAATATTAATAAACATTTAATTTTTGGTTATGATTTTTAGTTAGATAAAAAAAAGTTTAACTTATATAGTCTAATGTACGATCATAATTTATATATTCATGTTCATAAGTAACAAATATAAAATTATTAACTTTAGGGGCGTTTAATATGGTTTATTCACAAAAAACTCATCAAATCTTTTAATTAGTTTTGAATCACATTACTCAAACCTAATAGTCCAAAAACTAAGTCATACAGTTGTTATTTCAATATTATATGTATGTTCGATTCATATTTGAATTGAATTTACCGATAAACATATTTAAATTAGATTAGTATCAACTGAYTAATACAAATCTTTCGTTATTCAAATAACGTCGTGACYCGCTGATATTATTTGCAATAAGGAGTTACGATATTAGAAGGTTAAGTTCTATTAGTACTTGAATAATAGCATCATACAAAAATGGCTAATACTGCATTTTCCAGAATGGTATTAATTTTACTCTAAATACATATTTATAATATTCTTTATTCATTTAATATAAACAAACTGGTGAAATATTTTTTGATTTTGTTAGAATTGTAGAATGAAAAAAAAATGCCTGTGGATATTCACACATCAATACCGTTTAAGCTTAAAAGTATATGATCGTATATTGCATTCGTTTTAATCGTGTTTTGTTCATGGATTTTTCTCTAGTTATTTCGTCTCAAAATTAAATTGTAMTTATTTGACGATCAATTCAAAAATACTGTAACTAATCAGTCACTGTTGGAACAATGTGTCGTTTACAAGCYGAAATCCGCGTACACCATAATGTTATAATTCCTTCAGAATTTTAAACTAACTGTACACAGGTATAATATTAATAATATTCAAAATATTTCTTACCTTGTTGATTGATTTAAACTGTACGATTTAAAAATCCACTTGAAACAACCTGAAAAAAAAATCAGTAAGTCATTTGTGAATTGAAAAATACACATTGATGAATGTTAATTTTTAATTATTTTGCTTGGTATTTTTATTTAATTTTACTTTGTACAAAATTAAAACATTTGTATTAAATATCGTATTCATTAAAATATTCGATTTTTATTGATTGATTAGTATCATTGTAATCATAAAGTCGTTATACAACACTTAAACTTCTATAATTTATATAATAGGTACTAAGTACTTGATAATCTATAAAGTGTACTATCTACTATGATAATATAATCTCAACACTACATTGCATTAAAAATCCCAAAAATTAATTAAAAGTTTAATTGTATTTTGAATTTTCATAAAAATGTTTAGCATTTATATTGATTTCTATTTACACAGAATTCACAAAAATTCGGATAAAGTTCCAACACAATAATGAACTGAATATTCTCCTTTTGCAATGATTGCAGTAAAAAATAAATTAAAAATAAATAATATGTATAATTAGAAAATTTTGACCATCATATTAATATTAATATTTGCATTTTGTATTGTGTTATTTTATTCTTAACGGTTTCTAATTATGTATAAATCTGCAGTTATWTGACAACTTGTGCAGTTGTGCCATGGTTAGAATTTTCATTTAAAATGTTTTTCAATAAAAAAAATACCAAATATATTCGATCCTAGTAAAAAGCTGTTAAAGCTTTAAATCAATATAGAGAGCTATATATGTTGAGTTATGGGTTTGGACTTTTACAGACATTGTTTRTGTACCTATATATTAAATCTGTATAAACGCGTTACTCTGTGTATCTTATTTCAAGATTAACTTTTAATTTAATTAGAGTTTTTAATAAAAATTTTGAAACCATYATAACGCACCAGGGCCATACACCAATATTAATTGRATTTTAAAAAAACTTGCAATTTATACATTTGAACAGTTTTTGAAGAAAACTCTATACGTATACTTATCAATATGAAATAAATACAACTATTTATTATATAATTCATTTTATATGACATAAGTCATATATATTTTTTTGCAAAAGTCAATTTGGACATAAATGTTCAATGCGTTTCATTTCAACTTTAATTTCCGAATGAAAAACGCATGCCCCCAGTACACACACGTTATACTATAAAATTCACTTGTAGTATAATGGTGGCTGCGATCGACTTGTACCATAATTGATTTAAAAACGTCACATACACATAGGGAAGGTTAATTTAATTACGGATAATATAATATCTACGATGTATTGTAGTAGTAGTTATATGTTGGAAACCACTAGTATTAATTTTTTTAGTTTCTATTGCAAAGGAGAGAAATCGCTTAGTAACATTGTTATACGGTACGGAATAGGGATGGGTCTATGTCTGTTTCTTTTTTCAAGTTTTATTTTTCCCCTTTTGTCCGCGTATATTCACGGTCTGGGGGGGRAAACGAATGAAAACGAATTAAAGTTTAATAATAAAAAAGGGAGAGGCTGAAAACAAGCCGTTTTCCGCACAATAAAATACGTATGGAATCGCAATTGGCAATGGTGGCAAAGGTGAAGGGAGTGGGGTTGGCCGATAGGGAAAAACAAAAGAAAATCGTCTGGTGAAAAAGACGGTATCGCCACCGTTAAAAGTCTAAAAACTCGCATAAAACCACAAATTACCTAGTAAAAAATTAATATTGAACTCTCTCTTTTATGTGTATACTCCACGTGCCTTCATTTAATCTACAAATGCTACAAGAAAATGTATGTTATAGACAATCAGCAGATAGTAGGGGGAACATATTATTCGATCATTATAATACAGCAGTGTTATGGGCCCACCTCATGGCCTTCCATTCGTTAAATTCAAAACCTCTAGTATCACCTCAATATGACTAGAGTTTAACCGCCTCAATATACTGTACAACTATAGGGTGATCGTRTGCATTTAATCTTACATATATACACATACTAGCGGGTGAGCACGTGCAAATGGCCTCGCGACGCCACGAGGGACGATATTTATATTTATATGCACATCGTTTATGTATACTTAATATAATATATATACACATATTGTATCAATTTGACTCCCGCAAAATCCATTAGAAAAAAGCATCGTAACGGGTGTGTGTTTATTTTTTTACCAGTCATGGTTGAAATTAATAAATATTGCTGCTGTGGTAGCGGCCGCGGTTACGCGTGTGGTGCTGACACTACGGGGTATCAAAAACTTAAGAGACTATAAAATCAAGTATAAAATATATATTAAAACACAACACGTAACAATGAATTTATTATTATTGGCTGGCGCACAATAAATACATGCGTGCTTAATATTATGTACATTATCATATTATGCTTTGTACGAGTGCACAACTGTTATGGTATTCTATATTAAATTATATTTTAGTTTTTCACATAGCTTTAACAGTAGTGTAATGAAAAAAATATAATTCATTGAAATTAAGCTCKGAGTACTGTATTTACRAGGATGCAATGTAAAACACTCTCAGGAAATAATAATGTTTAGATTGTTTCGCGTTAATGTTGTGATAATATACGCGTTTAGATACAACACCACGTTAATTCATTTATTTTACGAGTTATAATAAACTATTTAAYAGTACATCTTTAATGATTTATAATCGAATAAGAATCAACAGTAGTCGTTTTTAACAGAATATAGTACAGTATAATGTATAATATGTACACAGAAAAGGTCGAAACCGCGATAAATAAAAGTGAAATTAACGAGATTTCATTTATTTTATTGTCACAGTTAGACATAAATCTTGATTATTAATGCTATTAATTTTACAGTGTAGTTGACAACAATATATAAATATATATATATATGAATTTGGATAATCCTCGAGTCACGTATTTGCAATTGGATATCTAGTAGACCCGAGTCATTAATCATTTTAAAATTACTTTTTCACAAAACAATTTCAAACTTGTTTGTAATTTTAACTTCTGAAAATATGAAACAGTCCATAGCACTATATACAGTGAAAAAAAGCTAAATAACATASCATAGGTAGATGTTTCGATTTGTATATTATGCTACACATATATTTTTACTACTAAAAGATTTATAATCCTGAAATAAATGTTTATATATMATTTATACGTGCTGCCGAGAATACTGATTAAAAATAAAATGTGTACCAATCAAATGGAATTGTTGAAATAATTACAATAGTTACATGATACGTACACCTACATAATATAATACACAATTAAAACATTTTGTTTCAATCCATCAGTTGACTRCATTTGGATATTTTAAATCCTGCAAGTTAATTAAAATAATTTATTAAAATACTATTTCCCTCCAATATCATTAATAAAGGTTTAGTTTGTATTGTTCATTTTTTATACAGTTTTCAGATTTTTTTTTTTAATGTATTTAAAGAAATATAGTAATGGGCAGTGAGTTTACAATCTGTGAAACTGTCAGTCAAATGACGGTGAAACGATTAAAATGATTTTTTTTTCTGTAAAACATACCAGTGAGATAATTGTGGGAGGAAAAAAAGGTAAACAATGTCACGTACGAGCGTAGCTAGCTTTAATATTTTAGCCGATGAAAAGTACCAGAATGGACAAATTTCTGAGAATCTAATGGAAAATGTATTATTATTAAAAGAAATGAAAACGCATCATAATAATTCCCGTTTTGCAATATAAATATCGTTGATTTATCATTATCCGCGAAGTATAATACAGTGTTAAGTAATGAAAATAATATAGTGCTACAAATTACAATTTAGACATGCCTTTATATATTGTAATGCTCTAAATGCACCCTATTCAAAGTATTATGTACATTCACATTGGTTCAGTATCTTAAATTACTGACGAAAATCAGTACACCTCAGGGCTGTAAATTATAATCGCTCTGCGGGGGAAATATATGTGCCCGTCCTGTGAAAATCGGTGTGTATTATCTCTCAAAGCGCACTAGTGTTTTTGTTATGATTATATGTCATTATCTTAATCGCGTGAGCCACTTAAAATATTCAATGTACCGAAAAGTACCTGACATGGAACCGAAAGCGGATAATAATAATGTACAATAGTAATAATAATGTATTATGTATGTGTCATAAAGAATAAAGACACGCAAASAACAAATTTTGGATAATCGATAGGATTCGACTTCAAAAGTTTCTTTAAACACATATTATGTGTGTTATTGCATACTATATTATTATGATGACACATAAAGCATATTATTATATATTATATTTCAACAAGTAAATAATTAGTGTGCATGAAATTAATTACATGGTCGACAACGGTTTAGATGTTCGTATAACATTGTTTTTCCAACACTACTTTACTAGATTAATAATGTTAATTAAGTGTGGTGGGTTAGGCCATCACAATAAAGTTGTTCACCATCGGTCGTTTACTCACGCTAAGAAAATTTTTCCAWCAAGACATCATCGGCATTTTGATTAATTAAAATAATTGTTATTTGGAGTGGATTGTATTATTTCGCACTCAGTCGTGTACCTATTTGAAAAACAATCTCTCCCCCCTCTAAATATAATATGTTTATTTCTATGAGATTCGTCGTAGTTAGTGCGATTTAATTATTTAGTTGTTAAACCACTTGAAAATGTTTAACTGCGTTTTAATCCATTGCGACTTTACGGCGTTTAATGAAACTATTCAGCAGCTAGAAGTCAGCATCTGCCTATAATTTATAAAATTAAACGACTAAACATAAAGTGTTAATAGCAACGCTTTAATGCACTTTGTGTGATATATTATTTCAGCTTATAAGAACTTCAAACAATTATTTATAGCTTGGAAGCTCTACAATAACGAGCAATAATAATAATAATAATATCGTTCTCAATGAGGTAAGATTATTGATGTTTACATTAAACGGATATAAGTAAAGAGTGTGAAGAATAGGGATGTCAATCACTGTATATGTTTTGTTTTTAACTATAATTTTTCACGCGATAAAATACCAACAATCAATATATCTAATATGTTA